GGGGCTGTGCATAGATTAAATGCAAATACTATACCATTTTATACAAGGGACTTGAGCATCTGTGGATTTTGTTATCCCTGGGGGGCTCCTGGAAGCCAACCCTGTATAGAGATCCAGAAGAGTTGATGTTTTAAAACATTCTGCTGTGCACCTTAAATACATATACAGAATGTAAAAATAAGTCTAACAAAAATAAAATTCTCATTGGTCCTCGGAGTGCTTTGTATTGTATCAAATCTGCTAAGCTGGAACTGTATTTCCCTCTGTGCTTCTAAGTCAAGGTTGGTAAAAAGACAAGTTTGCATGAGGTTTGTGAATCGGAGGTGAGGGAGCAGCCACTTTGCACACAAGGACAGTGTGGTACCCCAGGCGCTACAGCAGTCTGCTCTTCTGACCTACGCTTGCCTCCTGGCAGGGACAGCATTCAGATGCAAGCTCCTCAGGCTGCTGCTGGATCTCCCCCTTCAGGTCCTCTGACTCTGGGCCTGGGGACTCTGCAGCTCCATGTGAAGGGCTCTGGCTCCTTCTGTAGGTCACCCACATCCTTGTGGTCGGAGGTAGTGAGAGTCAGATGTGGTCAGTTAGTCTGCCTTCCCGGTCCCTGTCAATCCTCACGTGCTCCACTTTATTTCTGCTGCCTCCCACGTTCATCCAGCCCTCCTTCCCAACTGCTGGTCCTGCTGATCTACAAAGACCTAAGTTCACCATTAGATGCAGACACACCCGCTTTCCAGAGATTTCGTCACCAACTCCCACAACATCATAAGGTCTTGTCTCTAGAATAAAATCCTAAGTGCTCCAGTGACGCAATTGGTTAGCGCATGGTTCTTATATAATAGAATAAAATCCTATATTCACATCATTCACAGTGGCCCTGTCCTTTAGTCAAGCCCTAATCCTTTCTCTGCTAAGATTCTCCATCCCTTCACTCATTATGACCATCTTCTCCTTTAATTCCTTGTGCACATTTATAAGATCTGCATTAAAGTCTTTCTCTAATTCCAACAGCTAGTTCCTCTCTGGGTCAGTTTCTAAGAATAATTTTTTTTCTTAATTGGATGACAGATTTTCCTGTTTTTTCATGTCTAATATTTTTTCTGACTACTAGATATTATAAGGAATAAGTTGTAGACACTTATTCTTCCTTCAATGACTGTTGACTTTTATTTCAATCAGCAGTTAAATTGTTGGCTGATCATCTTGACCTTGTGGAGCCTTAGATTTACCTTTTGTTGAAGTGAGTCTGTTTCAGTTTTGTCTTTAGGTCTAGTGTGAATCTCTTGGTTTGGGGACATAATCTTTACTTCTAAGGCAGTGTTTTTTGACCCTTTTTTGTGTCACGGCACATTTGAACTTATAGTTAAACTTTCACGGCACACTTAAATTATGTTGATCAAAGAAGAGAGTAAGAAAAAAGCACATACTTAACTGTGCTTTGAAATTCTTTCAAAAATAATTTTTAATTAACGATCTTTAAAAATGTTTGCAGCACACCTAAGATCCTCTCACAGTGTATCAGGGTGCCATGGTTGAAAATCACTGTTCTAAGGCGCAGTTCTGTGCTTTCAAAGGAAATACGGAGGTGTTTACCACGCCTCTTCCCCTCTGCCTAACTCAGACTCCAAATTGTCTCCATCACAATGGGCAAGAACTGAAATACCCCGGCTGGTCTCCAGCTTTCCCAGTAGGGTTCTCAGCGGCCTCCCTGCTTGTGCGCAGTTCAGCAATCAGCCAGGAATTTGACAGGGAGCTTGTACGGCTCCCATTTCTGGGATAGCCCTCCTCATTTCCAGACACTCTGGAAGTCCAAATCTGTTCTGTGACACTTTGGGATGATGGCTGCAGCTTTCTGCTTGAATTCTAGCTGTTTCATTCCAGACAGACTGGAGAGTGCTCCTTAGGCAAAAAAAAAAAAAAAAAAAAAAAAATTATCTCACCCAGGGTAGTTCTCTTGATTTAAGGGCCATTTCTGCCTGCTTTGGGTCACTTTCAAGTGCCTTTAAGTTTTTTGGGTTTTGTATTCTGTCCAGAGTTTATCTTCCAGAGGGTTAGTTTAGGGCAAACTACTCTTCCGTGTACAGAATTAGAACTTTAAGATAATCTTTTAGAGTTGAAATAAAAGGGTAGGGGGAATGTCTCCAAATGCTGTTAACAGATGGGGAGTGGGAGAGGTTTGGGTGTCAGGTAGGGGGGAAAGGACAATCTGCTCCTTTAATGGATCACCTCTTCTTGTGGGACAAAAAAATGGGGGTACGTGTATAGGGAATGGGGGAACACACCACAGAGTGCTGGGTCCCTAAAATCTAGGGCACAGGGATTTAGAGGCACAGGAGGAACATGAGGCAAAGCAAAGCTGCCCTAAGCATGCAGCTGCTGGGACGTGTGTGCCCATACTGATGGGGTGTGTTTGTACATTCGATCACAAGGGTTAATTTAGGAGAAATCAAAGGCTAGTCAAGACCACTATATCTACCTATCCCCTCCTTGCTGCTAATTATCTTGCTCTAAACAAACAATATTGGAATGACAATGCATCCTTGGTAGATGTTTGGGGATGCTTGGCTTTTCTGGTTTGTCCAGAGAGATCAGGCCAGCATGTTGCTGACAGGTTAGAAATTATAACAGCTGTTCTTAGTCTACGTTTTGGGGCAAAAAGCTTGCTACCTGGGGAAAGGCCTGCAGGCCAAAGCTTGGCTCATCCGACATCCTAGACATTGGCTCAGATAGTTCCTTGAACATTTGGGAATTTGCTGTGCACATTTGAAATGTGGATTTGGTGTCTCCCTGAGAAGGCGCATGTTCTCTCCAGTCTGCTGCAGTCCCCAGCTCCCCAGTGCCGAGGCCTGTCGGCTTAGCGCCTTCATATTTCCTTTCCTTCTTTTTTTTTTTTTT